TGGAGGAGAAGGTGCCTTGAACAGGGCATGTTCGAAACCTCCATACTATGCGTATGTAACTGGGGGTCGAGCAGATCAAAACTGCAGAGTAGGGTAGAATCGCTGTTCAAAGAGCAGTTTTTGTGCATTCGATGTTTGACAGGGGACATCTCATCGAGAGGCAAAAATGGTCTTCATTGCTATCTGCAGGCAGAGCATCGTAGCGCACATGCAGCACAAGCGTTGTGAACACGCCTTGACTTGTTGTCGGTGAACTGAGAAACTGTTTGGCTGGCCGAGGCTCCTTGCAATCATGCCGTGGAGATGGCCAAGGCCGCTGTTGCGGACAGAGGGAATGACAGCACTGATATCCCAGAAGCCCTGAAAGAGTTTGCCAGCATCCGTGAACAGGATGCGGAGGAAGCTTGTCACAAACTCTTTAAGAGGTACAATTTGACTCTTCCTTTCGATATAGAGACCATCCATGCTGGAAATGAAGGGGAGCTGAAGCAGCTGCCCGTGGTCAAGTTTTCAACCTGGGCGAAATACCTTTTGGATTATGAGAAGCTTGAACATCTGATTGGTGTGCCAGAGCAGGACATGGAGCCAAGGCTGGAAGAGTTTTGGCACCGGTACAAAGTGCTGAACCCGGAACATCAAGTGTTTGTTCTGGCAGAGAACGAGTCTCTGCAGCTGAAGCGAACAGTGCCTGTTTTTGCCCATATAGACGAGGGCAGAACGTACAAATCCAAGGCTTTGCTTATCTTGTCAATCCACGGATGCCTTGGAAAGGGCACACGCAGCTACGCTAAGCGGATTGTGCGGAAACCCCACATCAAGCGAGACCCGATGGGAATGAACTATGTTGGTTCAACTTGGAGCACACATTTTACCTTCGGAACCCTTCTGCGCAGCCTCATCAATGACGATGACTCCTGCCTCGACAAGCTCATGGCTGCTTTCGGGTCTGACATGACCCAGCGGGCGACGCAGGGTGTTACCAGTGCGAATGGACAGAGAAGGCTCTGGGTACAAATCCTTGGTATCAAAGGCGATTTGCCGGCGTTGGGCAAAATCGGAGGCTTTGTGCGCAACTACAGCAGAGTTGCGAAGAAACAGGTCTCCAGGAAGCCATGCCCTGGGGTCTGTTTTTTGTGCAAAGCTGGGCAAGAACACCCTGTTCATGTGCCGTTTGAAGACCTCAGGCCTGGGGCGTTGTGGGAGCGGACAGCCTTTGAGGAGCGCCCGTGGGTTGCAGAGCCGCCCATTTTGGCGGAAATTCCCTGCTTGCCAGACAAACCCGAGGCCTTCTTCATGACAGATTTGTGGCATAACTTTCACAACGGGCTGGCGAAGTTTTGGGTCGCCAACGCGCTGGTGATTTTCATATTCACCGATGGCCTGGTGCCAGGGCGCTCGATCGAGAAAAAGTTGGAATGGCTTTCCGATGACTTTGTAAGCTTTTGCAAACGAGCGGGCATCATGCCGTTCCTGAAGGAGTTTACAAGGGACAACCTCAGTTTGGATTCCTTTCATTCCTATCCACAGGGTTTGTGGAGCAAAGCAGTGGTGTCCACCCACACCATGTTGTATGTGCAGGACTTTTGCGACAGGTTCATTTCGCCGACAACAACGGATGCCGTCTTCAAGGGCATCGAATCTCGAATTGTGACTTTCATGTTTTCTCGTGTTTACAAAACAATCTGGTTTTGTAGGGCGACGAAACATGCGATAGTATCTTAGGATCCAGGTATTTTTTACTGTCCAGACTCTCCCTCCAAACAAAGGCTCAGGGCACCCGCTTGGTGAATGTCTTCCTATCCGTGCTCTATGGAGAAGGCTTCTGGGTGCCCAAGAAAAGGGGGCACCAGCTGGGGTGCATGCTGCAGTCTTTTCTGACGACATATCAGCGATTGGCCGCTGTGTGTTTGAATCGAGGCTGGAACCGCTTTCCCATGGTTCCAAAAGCTCATATGTTGGCGCACTGTGCAACTCAGATGATCCAAGAAGCACAGCGGGGGGAGTGGGTTATAAACCCACTCAGCACGGCAAACCAGCAGCAAGAAGATTACATCGGCCGGCCCTGCAGACTGAGTAGGCGTGTGCATGTGCGAAAGCTGCACCTTCGGGTCATGCAAAGGAGTCTCCTTGCGTGTCACCAGGCGCACTGTGAAGATGCCTAAAGCACTGGGTGAGCATCATGAGCAGTCGTAGGGACATACCATCCTATGGCATTCAAACCATCCGTAAAAAGCACTTTTAGATTTGGTTGTTGAGGCCCAACCCATCACAGCAATAAATCAAAGCCCAGCACTCATCCTCAATAAGACCCCTTTCCATCCACCCATGTATACATGTATAGTATAGTGTTCCGTATCTAGGCATTTAGTACAATACTGTGTACATATGTGTATATATATATATATATTGTATATATTGTGAAGAAAAGATGTCCATTTGCATGCTTGGGATATGCACGTTACACGTCTATATGCGCAAAACCCGTGTCTTGTATGCTTGGTAATTATGTGTTTCTATACATTGTGTGCCTGTCTCTACCGGTGACTAAAGAGATGTACACGCATGCTCCTTGGAACTTTCATGTCTATAATTGAAATTGTGTATGTCAGAACAATTAACAGCATGTCTGCAGCTCATGATGTCAGCATTCGTGTGTCTGTGTATGCAACGGTGTCTCTGCTTTTCTATCGCAGCGGTCATGAACTCATGTAGAACTGTTCTATGTCCTGTCTGGTGTTCATCCACGTAAGCCCGCCTGTGAATGTATTCGTACGTGGTCGAAAGCTTGTGTCAATACCAAAGCACGTGCACCACGCTCGC